CATTGTGAACTGTAGGTACCGATGCTCTCCAGGGATGTTCTGAGGAGTCATTAAAATCTATTCGGGCCGGCGCCGCGGCTCACTAGGCTAATCCTCCGCCTTGCGGCGCTGGCACACCAGGTTCTAGTCCCGGTCGGGGCGCCGGATTCTGTCCCGGTTGCCCCTCTTCCAGGCCAGCTCTCTGCTGTGGCCAGGGAGTGCAGTGGAGGATGGCCCAAGTACTTGGGCCCTGTACCCCATGGGAGACCAGGAGAAGCACCTGGTTCCTGCCATCGGATCAGCGTGGTGCACCGGCCGCAGTGCACCAGCCGCGGTGGCCATTGGAGGGTGAACCAACGGCAAAAGGAAGACCTTTCTCTCTGTCTCTCTCTCACTGTCCACTCTGCCTGTCAAAAAAATAAAAAAAAATAAAATAAAAATAAATAAAATCTATTCGAGGACAAGACACATCCAGACCACTACAAATAAAAGTTCTTTTCTCCCATATCAATCCTACAGTCAGCTGAGTATTTGTTACATCCCTGGCTCTGGGCTAGGTATTTGGGAGAGGCAGGATCAAAGGAGAGTAAGACATATATTTAGTGCTAAAGAGCTTATAATTAAGTGGGGAAGCTGTTACATGCACACAAGCTACTACCTACAGGCTCTGACCACACTGGTCTCCTCATTGTTTCTGGAACATCCAGGCCTGTTCCTGCCTCAGCACTTGGGCACTTGCTGCCCCCTCTCCCTGGAACTCTTGTCTCCCACTCCTCTACCTCCTTCAGATCTTTACTCAAATATCAGTTTGTCTGAGATGTTCCCTGATCACCATGGCTAAAGTCATCCCAGTGCTGCTACTCCCGACTGTCTTCCCTGTTTGTCTTTCTGGCTGACAACTCTGTTTCATTTAGATAAATGTTGGTATTTTTTCACCTTGTGTTCCTCTTACCTCTTCAGTGTGAACCGTATGATTGATTTCTTTACAGCTCAGTCCCAGTGCCTGCAATGCCAGTGTCTAAAGGCACTCAAAATGTGGATGGAATAAATGAGTGATGAAATTAATTTCAGGTACAGGGCAGAGCATCCGCAAAGCTCCAAAGGACAAAGAATAGGAGGTATGTTAGGGGCTCTATTAGTTTTCTATTGCTTTTGTAACAAATGATCATAAACTTAATGACTTAAAATCGCACAGATTGGTATGTTTCTGTAAGTCAGAAGCCTGGCACAAGTCTCACTGGGCTAAAGTCCAGGAATCCGCAGGGCTGGCTTTCAGGGTGTTCCTTTCTGGAGGCTCCAGGGGAGAATTTGTTTCCCCGTTTTTTCTGGCTTCTGGAGCCCATACATACTCCTTGTCTTATTCTTTCTTCCGTCTTCGAAGCCAGCCATGACTGGTTGAATCCCATCAACCAGTGAGTGAGTGTCACATCACTCTGGCCTCCTCTTTTGTCTCCCTCTTCCACTAGGAAGGACCATTATAATTATATTGGGCCCATCTAGAAAGTTCAGGATGCTTCCCTGTTTTGAAGTCTAATTAGCAACTTTAATCCCATCTGCAAGTTCATTCCCCTTTGCCATATAACCTCACCTGCTCACAGTTCTGGGGATCAGGACATGGGCATCTTTTGAGGGTTCATTATTTGGCCTACCACAAGGACTAACAAGAAATTTTACTTGGAGCCTAGGATCTGCGCTGCCAGTCTTGAGGTATAAAATTGGGAAATATAGCCAGGCATGACCATGACTGTCAAGATTTAGCAAGTGCACTGCATCTGGGAGATGGTGGGAGGTTGCTGAAGGCCTTAGAGTGGAGGCGGGGGTGATCAAACTGAGGCTTTAGGAGGTGAATATGGACTTACAGCAGGGATTCTCAGGGAACTGATGTTTGTCTTCTCAAAGCATGTGACTCCCCTCCCCTTTCTAAGTGCAGAAAGCTAGGTATATATTTAGGATTTCCTAAAAAAGTAGAGTGCTGTTAGAATTCCTTTTGCAAACTACCTTGTTGTATCACACATACACAGCACACAAATGGAGACCCATCAAGTCCTGTTTCAGACACACTCACACAAGTGCTCAGTCCTCTCCTATGCAAACTGGCGGCCTCACCCTGTTCTTGGGGTCTCCTTTCTGTGCTCATCAGTGGCCCCCAATTTTTTTCTTCCCTGACATACGCATACCTGAATATATATCTTCCAGCTAGTAACCTAGGCTTACTGTGGCAGTAGTCCTCACAGGATCATGCTGTAAACCTCCCCAGCAGCCCTAAAGACACTCTCAGAAGATGTGTATAGTTTGACAAAGTCTGGCTTCTTTCACCTTTTCCACCCATCTCACGAAGGCCACTGCTTGGGGCGCCTGCATGCTGTATTAGGGTACTTGGGTTGAGATCCTGTTACTCTGCTCTGATCCAGTTACTGCTAATGTGAATCTTGGGAGGCAGCAGGTGATGACGCAAGTTCTTGGGTTCCTACCCTCTACATGGGAGACCTGGATGGAGTTCCAAGCTCCTGGTTTCAGCCTGGGCCAACCCTGGATGTTGTTGGTATTTGGGGACTGAATTAGTGGATAGAAGATTGATCTCTATCTGTCTCTGTCTCTCTTTCTCTCTCTTTCTCTGTTTCTCCTCTCCCCTCAAATAAAATGAAAATAAATAACTTAAAACAGCACTGTTCAATAGAACTTTCTACAGTGACAGAACTAACATCTATCTATCTATCTATCTATCTATCTATCTATCTATCTATCTATCTTCCGTCCACTGTGGTAATTGTGAAATGTGACTGGTGCAGCTGTAAATAGACACATGTTGTGATGGCTACCATGTTGAAGAGTGCAGCTTTCAACATCTAATACTTGCTGAGCATGTGCAAGAGGCTGTAATGGTATTTGTGGGACACAGAGTAGTATATAATGAGGACACAAGTTTTTCATTTAAACTTTGACTATAACATTGTGATTTTTGGACAAGTCATGTAATCTCTCTCAATCTAGCTCTGTCATCTACCAACTTTTATGATCGCTTGTATATCAAAGAGTAGGGGCAGATGCTGTCTGGCCTAGAGGAGACGATTATTTTACTTCTGAATTGTTTAAAGTTGATGCATGGTGATAAAAGATCTCCTTTCAATTAATTTTAGTGTTGCTTTTTAATATTCTAGATAGCATACCTTCTCCTTGCCCAGGCAAGGGTGGAATGCACCCACTGCCTGCCCATGTTACTATACTGGGTATGATGTCACATGAAACAAGATTAAAAATGGAACAATATGGGGCTGGTGCTGTGACATAGCAGGTAAAACCACCGCCTGCAGTGCTGGCATCCTATACGGGTGCCAGTTCAAAATCCAGCTGCTTCACTTCTGATCCAGCTCTCTGCTATAGCCTGGGAAAACAGTAGAAGATGGCCCAAGTCCTTGGGCCCCTGCACCCACGTGGGAGACCCGGAAGAAGCTCCTGGCTCCTGGCTTCGGATTGGCACAGCTCCGGCTGTTGCATCCAACTGGGGAATGTACCAGTGGATAGAAGACCTTTCTCTGCCTCTCCTTCTCTTTGTGTAACTTTGACTTTCAAATAATAAATAAATCTTTAAAAGCAAATGGAACAATATTAGTAAAAGACTGAGCACTGTATCACACACATAGTTTGCAGTCATTCATTCAACAAGTGCTGATTAGCACCTACAGTGGTGCTGGAGATACAGATAGAATATGGAAAAATGAGAGGACCTGCTTACTGAATGGGAGAGGGCACATTTAATCAAAGCTGGCTTATAATTTTGTGGGTTTTTAGTTAATTTTTAAAACTGCCAGTGGGTTTTTTTTTTTTTCATTTTTGTAGAAGTCAGCATTGGTTCATATGGATTTAGCTTACTTATTTCCCTTTATCCTAGCTTCCTTTTGATCAATAACTTCAGCCATTACCAGACACTTTCAGTTTTCTTCAGTCTGTGTAGCCCTAGGTAGTCACTAATCTACTTTGTGTCTCTGGATTTTCCTGTACAGGATGCTTCCTGTAAAATGAATTGTGTAACAGGTGGTCTTCTGTGATTGCTTTTTTCACTTAGCATGTTTTCAAAGTTCATTCATGTACATTCATGTTGCAGTGTGCACCAATACTTCATTTGCTTTATTGTTTAAAGATTTATTTATTTATTTGATTGATTGAAAGGCAGATTTAAAGATAGGGAGATAGAGGGCAGTAGGGGAGAGAAAGAAATATATCTACCATCTGCTGGTTCATTCCCCAAATGGCCACAATAGGAAGGTCTGGACCAGGTTGAAGCCAGGAGCTGGTCTCCCACATGGTGGCAGAGTCCCAGGCATTTGGGCCATCTTCGGCTGCTTTCCCAGGAGTATTAGCAGGGAGCTGGATCAGAAGTGGAAGAGCTGGGACTTGAACTTGCACCCATGGGGTATGCCAGTGTCACAGGCAGCAGCTTAACCTGCTATGCCACATGCTGGCTCCCACTTGTTTCATTGTTGAACATCATTCCATTGTATACCTATACAATATTTTATTTATCCATTCATGAGTTGATGGACATTTCTGCTGCTTAGGTATTATGAACAGTGCTGCTGTATTTGTTTACAGGTTTTTGTTGTACGTGTTTTTTTTTTTTTTTTTTTCTCACAGGCTTATACCTAGGAGTAGATTTGTCAATAGAGTAATTCTAGTTGCTAATATGCTAACTCTGTGTTTAATCTTTTGAGGAACTGTCAGACTGTTTGCAAATCTGTACCATTCTACATTCCCACCAGCAGTAGAGGAGGGTGTCAATTTCTCCACATCCTCACTAGTACCTCCTATTAGCTTTTTTGATTATAGCCAGGCTAGTGAGCATGAAGTAGTATGTAATTGTTGTTTTGATTTGTATTTCCCTGATGGTTAATGGTATCAAGCATCTTTTATGTGCTAATGAGTCATTTGTACAACTTTTGGAGAAATGTCCATTCAGATCCTTTGCCCAGTTTTTAATTGAATTATTTGTTTTTCTTTCCTGTCTTTTAATTTGGCTTGGGCAGGATGCTGATATGCTAACCGGTGATGAGCAAATATGGAAAGAAGTTCAAGAATCCTTGAAAAAAATTGAAGAACTGAAGGCACATTGGAGTATCCTTTTATCTGTGGGTGAGTTGGATGTTGGAATTGCTTTTTTATTGTTTGGAGTCTGGTGTTAATGAGGCCAGGGGCAGAGTATCACTTCTCTGTAAGCTTCCTTCTGTTCCATGGTCATGGGCTGCATCTCTCGTCCTAGTCGGCAGTTTGGGTACAGGCTAAGGAAGATTGTGGTGACATCAGCATGTATCTCTCACCACCATTAGAACAGATGGCTCAGAAACAGTAGGAAAGAAAGTAGTAGTCTCTTTAAATGTAAAAGCTACCATGTTTCTAGATTCCTTTCCACCCATAACCACATCCATCTCCAGGAAAGAATAGCTTAGAATCTTTATAATTTAAGGTCACTGACCCTCAGACACAGAAACTTCATCTTAAACCAGCCATGACTACAGCACCAATGTGTGTGGCTACACAATAACTTTTCCTGGGATAAATAGTAAGGCCCCTCAGTGGGTTAAAGTTCTAAGTAAAGTGCGATAGCATATGGGGGAGGTTGTATGGGAAGATTCCTCTGGTGTTTTACTGTGCAAAAGGTCTCCTGAATCAGGGATAGGATAGGCCAAGTGGGACATCACTCTCAGGAGAGGAGTGCGTTTGGGGAAAAATGTGACACCACCACAGTAAGAAGAAAGAAGGATGAAAAAGGGCTACAAAAAAGTCTTTTAGATACTTTGGGCAAACAGGAACAAAAACAAAAACAAAACAAGAAACCACAAACTTACAGATGAGGTTTGAGGTTTCTCATCCACAGATAATGTTTTTAAAAGAATCATAAACAATGCAAAAGTAGTTAGATAGACATTTCAATTTTTAAAGGTGAAATCATTTCTGAAATCCATGGCCCAGTGACTTTGTTAGTTGTTCTATGAGAGACTTTGGCATTGGTTCCAAAGAAATGGAAAAGAAAACTATGATCATTAGAATGCTGTATGGGTTTACTAAGAGCAAGCAAGTCACAATTTTCTCTGTGAAGTTTGTAAATAGAGTTCATAAAGGGAATTAGTCAAGGAATTTATGTTAGAAGCCAACATAGCCAATTTTGTCTTGCTGAATGATAAGAATGATGCTTAATTGGGTCACAGTCACTTTTGAGTGCTTTGTTCCCATCTCAGTCCTCTTCAACCTTTGATTAAGTCTCTTGAATAAAGAGACAGGCAGGGTTCATCATATATCCAAAAATGTATAGATGGAAGGGATAGCAGATGTAGAATGATACAATCAGGGGTTCAAAAAAATCCCTGGAAGTTTAAGTGATGTCTTCAGTTTAAAAAGATGAAATTTTGACAAGAGTACATATAAAATGTTCTATTGAGATAAAAAATTTTAAGTGTATAAATATTCAGAAAGCTTACCAAAGATAAGAGACACTTTTCTTATATGAATATATATGTGTATTTGAAAGGCAAAATTATGGAGATGGGGAATAGAGAGGAGAGAGAGACAGAGAAAGAGATATCTTTGATTCACTGGTTTACTCCCCAAATGGCTGCAACAGCTAGGGCTGGGCCAGTCCAAAGCCAGGAGCCAGGAGCTTCTCCTGGGTCTCCCACGCTGATGAGGAGGCCCAAGCACTTAGGCCATCTTTTATTCCTTTCTCAGGCCATAGCAGAAAGCTGGATCAGAAGTGGAGCAGCCGGGACTCAAACCAGCATCCATAGGGGATGCCAGCACTGCAAGTAGTGCTACACCACAGCGCTGGCCACCGGTATATGAAAAACTTTTAGTGCTTTAGTAAGCAACATGGTTTGGGGCCAGCATCATGGTGTAGTGAGTAGACCTTCTGCCTGTGATGCCAACATCCCATATGGGCACCTGTTCAAGTCCTGGCTGTTTCACGTCCAGTCCACCTCCCTGCTAATGACCTGGGCAAAGCAGTGGAGAATGACCCAGCTGTATGCGCCTGTGCCACCCATGTGGGAGACCAGGAAGAAGCTACTGGCTCCTGGCTTTGGCCTGGTCCAGCCTTGCGGTCGCAGACATCTGGGGAGTGAACCAGCAGATGGAAGATTTTCTCTCTCTCTTTCTCTGTCTGTCTGTCTCTCTCTCTCTAGCTCTGACTTTCAAATAAATAAATAAATGTTTAGGGAAAAGACAGCATGGTTCCCAACCATGAGAGTATGATATTAACTCCCCTCAAGGACTACAGAGATCTCAGGCTGCATTCATAGAAATGTATAGTTGTTTGTATTGATCTCATCAATTCTTGAATTTTCTATTTAGTATGGAGTAGAACACTGAAGGAGGTACATAGAAAAACAAATAAATTTCAAGGAATAGAACCAGAACCAAGGAAGAATTTGAAAGCCTAACTTTAGATCAGATGGAAGATCATGAAAAAAATAGCCAAATCTGAGAGTGGCAGGTCCGTGGTCATGGGCTCAAAGAGCTGATACAGTGCAGAGGAGTAGGATTATTCTGTGTGGCTCCAAGGATGACCCAGCTACAGTCATTCTCAATTGTGTATGTTTTTACTGAAAACAGAGTCTGTGCCGTGTGCCTTGCTGGTCATAATCCACCTTATGATCCAGGCAGAAATTAAAAGGCACAGCACTCCATGCGTAACTCGCATACAAAATGGTATAGTCAATGTGAGAGGTCAAACGTATTTTGGTAAATATAAATATTTACAGGGAATTCAGAGACACCGACATCAGCTTTGGGTAGTCAAAGTTCTCATGGAGGAGGCAACAACTGAGCTGTGTGTGGGAGGGCTCCCCGGAGTTCGGCCAGGCCAGCAGAATGGAGAAGTGGGGTCCCTGGGCACAATACGGCACGAGGCGGCATGCTGCCAGCAAGTGGCCTACTGTTGTGTTTGAGAGGAGGGCAACGTGGTAAGGCCTTAAATACCATGCACAGGTGAGAGGAAACCGTGGGATGAGTTTAAGCAGTAGAATAATGTGATTAGGTGACCAAAAGCTCTGTGTTCTGACACTATGAGTCTGAAGAAGTTGATTAATTCCCAAGTGAATTTACTCTGCTCCTCTTTCTCTTTTCCCCTAATCCTCTTATGGTTGTTTAAAACTATTCAGGAAAAAAAAAAAGATATCTGTTCTGTCCACTGGTAATCTGTTCTCTTTGGGTGGGCTATCTAGTCCTGCTTAGGTCTCGAGCTCTACTCCTCGCTGGAACTGAGTGACTTGTAGTAAACACCACACAAATGCCAGGCACTAAATCTTTAAGCAAATAGATGCCAGCATTAGCTTGGGGGAAAAGCTTCTTAGTTAAAATTATTCCATTTTTTTGCTCACTGGGGTGTTATACAGGAAAGGTTTTGCCGCCTTTGCCAGGAGACCATTGCCAATATTGTGAATGGAAATTGGCTCGCAGTCCCTTCCAGCTTGCTTGGGGATAAAGTCGATGTATTCCTTTGAGTGGCTGCGGAATGTCACATCTGGTTTTTGCTTCCAAAGCTTGTCACCTCAAGCATCTTTAGAATGAATTGGAAAATATATAAATGAATACACAAACAATAGTGGAGGTCAAATAACATAATGTTAAAATAAGGTGCAAGTCTTGCCACAAAAATGTCTAACATTGTGTAAGAGACAGTCATTCCTCCTGACAGTTCGTCAAATATCTAATCCTGGAATGAAAAGCCACAGAGGTTATCCCAGCAATCTGTTACAAAATCAGTGCATTGCATAAGACACTGCTTCCCCCAACCTGTGGGGGACGTATTCAGCAAACTTTAAACATACATGTCAGATGAATACAAAGGAAAATCGCCAACTCTTCTAGGACCAGAGTTAACTCCTCAGAGACAGGACTTGTCCTAAAATTACAGGGAGTGCAAGATGAAGGGCCCCCAACTGCGTTTAGTGATGCTTGAAATTCTCAGCAAGCAAGCCGTGCTTCGGGGTGAAGTATTTTGCCTCCAGGAGGAGGCCCCTGCTGAAAGGAAAATATGTTTCCTGTGAGGGTTCATAAAGATAATAGTCCTCACTCACGCAAGTGGCTTGATTAGCTTATTAAGAGTGTCTGCTGAGGGTATGGATGCTGGACAAAGTGGATTTTGCTGGAGGGAGGGATAAAGCAGAGCTGGAGTACACAGAGGGCTGCCTGTTTGGGATGCATCACGTTGTGCTAGGACACCACAGAGAGGGCCTGAGCTTGGGGGATTGTGAAGAGATGGGGTCCCGTGGGAGAATGGGGTGTTCCATCCATCCGGGTCCATCGTATCCTTTACCTTAAGCCTAGTCATACTTAGAGGTCGTAACACAGAAAAGAAGGGGGAAGATACTACTGCTTGTGCGGTGTATATCTTGTGTGTGCCACCAAATGTTTACTCCTATATCCCTGGCACCCAGACTTCTGCCTGGCTCACAACAGAATGCATACAGAGTTTTGTCATTCTGCATACAGTGTCTTATTTAATTCCCACAGTGACGTTATGCAGTTTTTACTTTTGGCCTGTCTCAAAGCACTTTGACTTCCTCAGAACTTCAAACCTTACAAATGACACAATCAGCTTAGATTTGAATCCTGCTTTATCTACAGTCAGAGGCTATGCCATTTCTGCTGTATCTGAACTCTTCAGACATTGTCCCCCACAGGAACTCTGACATCTGAAAGGAGGTGAATGTATTTCTACACTGTGGAAGGTGGGGGTAGGGTGAGTGAAGGGCCAATCCTAGCCCAGCTGCTTCCTTAGCCTGTCCCCACCCTCATGCAACAGCATAGCACAGAAATTGAGTGAGCTTGTGAAGCCCTGCACTCCTGCCATCAGCTGTGCAGTGCTTCTGAGCTAATTTGCGAGAGAGAGAGATTCAAAGCACTCTCTAAATACTATGTCCTCAGTCCTCGACTCTAAGGAGACAGAGAATGAAGTGAGGTCACACTAAAACTCAATGAGATTAACTCACCGTTAATCACAAAGTCATTGTTACCAAGGAGTGGATATTGGGTCCTCTCCCTATCCTTTGTTTAATTTGAGAGGTAAACAGAGAGAGAAACAGATGAAGGGACAGAGCTCCCATCTGCTGGTTCATTTCCCAAATGCTCTGCATGCAGGAACCCGATCCTGTCTCCCATGTAGGTACCAGTGTCTCAGTTACTTGAGCCATCACCTGCTGCCTTCTAGGGTGTGCATTAGCAGGAAGCTGAATCCCAAGCGGACCTGGGACTTGAACCCAGGCTTTTTGATATGAGACACAGGTGTCCCAACTGGCATCTTAACTGTTGTGCCACATGCTTTTTCCTCCCCATTCTTTAAAAAGTATCATTTGCCTTTGCCTGCAATTTATGCACATAAAGCCATGGTCTTAATATTTTCTTTCACTTTTGGGGGTTAAAATAAGAATATCTTTGATTAGCTGTTTAGCTTAGAGGTTAAGGTGCTGATTAGAGAGGCTGGCACTGTGGCGGAGTAGGTAAAGATGCCATCTGCAGTGCTGAGATCCCATTTGGATGCTGGTTCGAGTCCCAGTTGCTCCACTTCAGATCCAGTTCTCTGCTATGGCCTAGGAAAGCAGTAGAAGTCTTTGGGCCCCTGCACCCCACGTTGAAGGCCCAGAAGAAGCTCCTGGCTTCTGGCTTCTGATCAGCCCAGCTCTAGCCATTGCAGCCATCTGGGGAGCGAACCAGTGGATGGAAGTGGATGCAAAACTTTTCTCTCTCTCTCTCTCTCTCTATCTCTCTTTTCTCTCTCTCTCTCTCTCTCTCTCTCTCTCTGTCTCTCTCTGCCTGTGCCTCTCTATAACTTCATGTGCTGATTAGAATGTCTGTGTTTTACAAAGAAATGCATTGTTCTATTTCTGGCTCCAGCTTCTTGGGAATTTGTACCCTGAGAGTAAGTGGTGATGGGTTTGGTAGTTGGGTTCCTGCCACCGACAAGATCTGATCTGAGTTCCCGGCTCATAGCTTCAGCTGTAGCCATCTGGGAAGTGAACCAGGAGATGGAAACTTGCTCTAGCTCTTGATGTATATCTGTCTCTCAAATAATTTTTTTTTGACAGGCAGAGTGGACAGTGAGAGAGCGAGAGACAGAGAGAAAGGTCTTCCTTTTCCATGGGTTCACCCCTCCAATGGCCGCTGCGGCTGGTGCGCTGCGGCCAGTGCACCACGCTAATCCGAAGCCTGGAGCCAGGTGCTTCTCCTGGTCTCCCATGCGGGTGCAGGGCCCAAAGACTTGGGCCATCCTCCACTGCACTCCCGGGCCACAGCAGAGAGCTGGACTGGAAGAGGAGCAACCGGGACAGAATCCGGCACCCCGACCAGGACTAGAACCCGGTGTGCTGGCGCCACAGGCAGAGGATTAGCCTAGTGAGCCACAGCGCCGGCCTCTCAAATAATTTTTTAAAAAAGAATAGTTTTGTTAAGTATAGACTTGGGTCATGTTTGCTTTATAATAAAAAAAAATGAGATACAGTGCAAGTGAATTTCTTTAAATTGCTTCCCCTAGTGTGTGCCTATCAGTTTTTTTTTTTTTTTAATTTGGCTCTGTGGATGCCCAAGACTCAAATGACACAGAAGCAAGCGTAAGCTCTTCCTTTTGAAATAGGAATTTCTTTAAAGCATCTTTAATTTCTGATCAACTTTTAAATAGATACTAACACAGTAATAATTTCAAACTGAACTAACAATGTTTAATAAACAGCGTCTTCTGTTTCACAACTAGGTTGAAAGAGAATATATTAAGAGTGCGAAGAAGAAAAGGAATCTTTGGAAATTTTAAGTCGCTAAAGCTTATAAGATGGCTTGTTGATGTAAACAGAATCTGCTTCCCTGAGATGCTGCTTACATGTTTTGTTTCTCAAGTGTGTATTCAGGCGGCTCATCTGTGCAAACTAAAGGGGACTTCCTTCCCTCCTGTGCCCAGGAGCTCTTCAGTCTTTTAGAGGCTCTCATTTCACTTTTGTTTTTCCTTGATCAAGACAATGAATCCTTAACTAAGGTTAATAACAGAGTGGGAACAGGTTCTGGCCCTGTGCCAGACAATCATAAGCAGCAACTCCGAACGGCTTCCCGACATCAACATCTACCAGCTGAAGGTGCTCGACTGTGCCATGGATGCCTGTATCAATCTCGGTCTGTTGGAGGAGGCGTTGTTCTATGGCATTCGGACCATGGAGCCATACAGGTAGGTCCCAGTGAGAAGGCTAAAGTAAAGGCAGAATATGTTTACTTGGCGCAAAGGGTTGACGTTGGGTGGTATTTAATTACTACTTTATAGCGAATGTTCCCATCTGCTTTTCAATACGTGAAACGAAAGCTTGTTTTATTCCTTTTTTCACTGATATATGCATCCATTAATCATTTATTAAGTTTCTTGTGTGTGTCAAGCACTGTGGGTGTACAGAGAGACTGATGAAATGCTGTCTCGTGTGGAAGAGATGAATACAGTATGTGAGGTTCTTGTAATGACAGAAGCAAACATAGGGAAGGTGTGGGAGACCTGGAGAGGAGGAGCCTGTGGCTCATACATAGCTTGGGAGTTTGTGTCCTTGGCCTCTGCTGGCCCAGGTGAGGCCGGCCAGCATGGAGACCATGGTCGGGCTCATGTTTGTTGAGCTTTATAGTTCCCAGAGTGCTTTCAGTAGAATCATTTGCCCTCACAGCCACTTTATGATCCAGATGGTTGAGCAGGGGGCTACCCTGCCCATATGGGTTGCTGAGTCAGCCAAAGGACCTATGGGTAATTTGCTATTGGTTGCCGAGAGACCCACAACTTTTCTGTTCCTGTGTGTCCTTGTAACTTGTGTCCCAGGAGAGAGAGCCTATTTGCTGCAGGCTAACAATGAAAGTCCAGAAGTTGAGATTGAAATCCCTCCGGGGGGAGGACACAGAGGCTTAGGCAGATTCTGGGAAGATACTGAGACTCCCAGCTCTGCAGATGGTAGAAACGTGGTGTCAGCCAAAAAGGGCTGTGTGGAGGGGCAGTCCGGGTCTAGACGTATGCGACTTGGGACAACAGACTCAGAAGGACTCTAAGTGAAGCAGGGGTAGGAGAAAGGTAGCACAGAGGATACTCCCTCTCCCTTGAGGAAGAACCTCAGGAGGCAACTTGGAAGGAAAGTCGCAGGAACTAGTGTGACGAGAACAAAAGTGAGTCCAGGATTAGGACTTTAGCTCAGGCAAAGGTAGGAAGCCAGAAGTGAGGCACTTAGCCAGGAACTTTTTGTAGGTAGAGAGGAATGTAAAGGTGACAAAGGCCCTACCAGACAGGACATGGCAGGGGTCCATAAACCAGCCAGTGGCACCAGCGTGACCTGGAGGGTGTTTTCTGGACTTTTGTAGGTGATTTTTGCCACTGCCTTGTAGATGAACGGCTTAGGAATCCAGACTGTGAGTCAACTATAATCAAACTTAGTAGAGATTGCCTTGAGGGCTGTAGACTTTCTCATGAGCAGTGAGATGTCTATTCGGTGAGATGAATCTTGTGGGTTCTCAGAAAATCCGAGTCGAATACAAAGAGATAAGGCGTCTTTCTCAGAGCCTCGGTGTTGCAGTGACAGGCAGGTCAGGCGTCATTGGTGTTACCTCTCTGAACTCCAGGGCTTGGGCTCGGGGAAGCCAAACCACAGGCTGCTGGCTTGAGCGGGTGGACTCCAGCCAGGAGCTGCGGGCAGAAAATCCTCCTTCACTCCTGGCTGGTGCTGCATTCTTGCTGCCATCTTCCGCTTCCTCTCAACGTTCAGGCTGCCCTGCTCAGGCCTCTCTGAAGCACGGAAGCCCGTTCTCTGTGTATTTCTGAATTCTCATTCCCCCACCTACCCTGGCCTCTCTGAAGCTCTAACTTACCCTTCAGTTGGACTTAACCTTGAGTCCAACAAAGAGATCTTTTCTTGTGTGGCCAAATCCAGCAGAATGTCCTGTATCGAGTTGGGAAAACATTTGGTTATATTTTCCTGATGTTTGGCAGGTCTCAGTCTCTCCGTCAATGTGTCCTCTGTTCTTATGCTGGGTGACAAATTTCTAAGCCTCCCTCATTTTCTGTTCCCTGGAGCTTGTTAAGGAGTTGCTGTGCAGTGTTTGGGATTTCAAGAAATCTAACCTGCATTGCTTCACTTCAAATGAGTGAGATTTGATCCCCTTGCTTTCGAAGTTACAGTAGAGGAAAAGGATTATAATGAAGTTAGGAGAAAGGAGCGGGAGTTGATACTACCACATTTTGCCTCTTTCCCTGCAGCTCAGGCAAAAGTAAAAATAAGGAAGCAGGTACAGATAGGTCAGATGCTCTGTAGCCCTATGATACTCTTGGAATGTGAGGTAGGAATAAAGAAGCTGGCTTGTGCGTGAGGGAATTCACACTGAGTGTGATCAGCCATCAGCATGGGCTCCTTGCAAGAGTGCTAGCAGGCTTCTTGCTTACTTTTAGCCAAGGACACGGACAGTGACCAAGAGGTGACTGGATTGTCAGCTGCCGTAACAGCTTTACAACATTAATGTATAGCTTGCCACAGTGAGATTGAGGTCACGTCTCAAGTGAGAATTTTGTCACCCCGACCTTGGCTAAATCTTAACTTCTGACCTTAGGGAGAAAGTGTCCATGTTCCGTTTTTAATCCAAATCACTGGTCTCAGCTCCTTTCCTGCCACTCTGTCACTTACTTCTTCTCAATAGATTTTACTCAGTGCTTGTGGTGCAATTTATTGTTAGGTTCTTTATGTTTCATAAAGCAAGTTGGAAATAATTCATGTAAAATGTATACCTTCAGGCTGGCACTGTGGCATAGCAGGTAAAGCCGCCGCCTGCAAGTGCTGGCATCCCATATGGGTGCCGGTTCAAGTCCCAACTGCTCCACTTCCAATCCAGCTCTCTCCTATGGCCTGGGAAAACAGTAGAAGATGGCCCAAGTCCTTGAGCCCCTGCACCCATGTAGGAAACCCAGAAGAAGCTCCTGGCCCCTGGCTTCAGATTAGCATAGCTCTGGCCATTGTGGCCAGTTGGGAAGTGAACCAGAGGATGGACAACCTCTTTCTCTCCCTGCCTCTCCTTCTCTCTATGTGTAACTCTGATTTTAAAATAAAATAATAAATCTTTTTTCTAAAAAAGTATACATTCTAGTACACTTATTAGCTTGTAGTATGTCCTCCAAAAGTATCTGTGCCCATATCCACAGTTATGTACACAAGTATACCTTAGCATTGCAAACACTAAGCAGAATAAAAGTAATTTAAAAGTTTTTCATAAAGTTCATTAACAATAAGATGATTCAGGTTCTAAAGTTGATAATTTCGAATGTGATATGTGTTTTCCTGTGAAGGTTGGTGTTACAGATTATGTGAGCTCTCCAGCCTTGCCCACAAAAGCCTATGCAGCCTGTAATGATGTCATCAGTGTAAGCTGTATGTTTCAGAGAGAGCAGAGAATTAAATACAAACTGCTGCTTAAAATATTTATTTGGAAGTCTGCTATTCCCACATCTAATTTTCTCCAAAACTGTTCAGAGTGAGGAAGAGAGAGAGAGAGAGAGAGAGAGAGAGAGAGAGAATGATCTACTGATTCACTGATCAGATGGCTGCGATGGACAGGGCTAAGCCAGGCTGAAGCCAAGAGCTTTATTCAGTTTTCTCACATGGGGGGCAGGGGTCTAAATAATTGGGCCATCTTCCACTGCTTTCCTAGGCACATTAGCAGGGAGCTGGATTGAAAGAGGACCAGCCAGGACTTGAAGAAGCACCCATTATGGGATGCTGGCATTGCAGGCAGAGGCTTTATCTGTTACTCCACAATGCCAACCCCACAAATTGTTTTTTTTTTTTAAGATTTATTTATTTATTTGATAGGTTGTTTGATAGGTAGAGTAACAGAGGCAGAGACAGAGAGAAAGGTCTTCCTCTGCTGATTGACTCCCCAGATGACCGCAATGGCTAGAGCTGCGCCAGTCCAAAGTGAGGAGCCAGGATCTTCTTCCGGGTCTCATACATGATGGGTGCAGGAGCCCAAGGACTTGGGCCGTCTTCTACTGCTTTCCCAGGTCATAGCAGAGAGCTGGATCGGAAGAGGCACAGCCAGAACTTGAACCGAAGCCCATATGGGATGCTGGTGCCACAGGCATAGACTTAGCCCATTACACCATAGCACTGGCCCCACTTAATTCTTTTTAACAGAAACATAGTATTTCATCTCATGAATAAATCAGTTCTTGTATCTTTGTGTACTGATACACCTAAATCCTAAAAGATAAATGCATGTGATAAATTGCTACATGCTGACTTGCTGCTTCAAAGGTTATTCATTTTACATTTGGATAACTGTCTGCTAATTACGCTCCTGCACTCAGCGAAACAAAACAAAACTGTTTCCTCAAGAGGGTGTGAGAAGGGATGACATTGATTTCTACTGTGCATGTTCTAAATTCATTTCAAAATATTTAAGAGCTTTCTCTTTTTTCTTGGTCAAAGCCTGCATTATAGGGTGAGGTTGATATTAATGTTGTCTAGAAGTAGTGTTTTTGTGGTAGGAAGAATGATAATTTTTGTGAGTTACCCAGGAAAGAGGCAGAAGAAAAAGAGTGAAGGAAATACTTAAACACATTCGGAATGCATGCATGAATACAGTGTTGAGACAAGTGGGAGAGGTGAGGAGGGTATGAAATCCCCCTCAAAAGGAAAATGATAAAAGTGTGATTTCAGTGTAAATAGTTTTCTATACTTTGTTGTCAGAAAAAAATAGGGGGGCTGGCGCCGCAGCTCAACAGGCTAATCCTCTGCCTAGCGGCGCTGGCACACCAGGTTCTAGTCCGTGTCAGGGCACCAGATTCTGTCCCGGTTGCCCCTCTTCCAGGCCAGCTCTCTGCTGTGGCCAGGGAGTGCAGTGGAGGATGGCCCAAGTCCTTGGGCCCTGCACCCCATGGGAGACCGGGATAAGTACCTGGCTCCTGCCATCGGATCAGCGCGGTGCGCTGGCCACAGCGTGCCAGCCGTGGCAGCCATTGGAGGGTGAACCAACGGCAAAGGAAGACCTTTCTCTCTGTCTCTCTCTCTCACTATCTACTCTGCCTGTCAAAAAAAAAAAAGGGGGGGGGGGAAGAGCTGAAGTGAAATATGGCTGGTAGTTTGTGTCCATGACATGTTTACACGTCAGGTATTTGTAACTCACAGATCGCCAGTAATTGCAGAGCAGCCACATCCGTTT